TAATTCCTTTTTTGATTGAATTTGAATTTTTTGAATTTTTATTTTGATTTTTTTTTTTAAATTTTGAATTTTTTTGAACTTGTCAATTTCTTTTAAACTTTTCGAATATTTAGAATTTTGTAATTTTTTTTTTAATTTACCATGTTTTTTGAATTTTTTTACATCTTCATGTTTTACACTAAACTGTTAAAGTTTCATTGAATTTTTTTTGAATTTTTTGAACTCATTTTATAAATTTATTTAAATGTTTCAAGTTTTCATTTTTTTTCTATTTTAGTAGTTTTTCAAATTATGTATTTTAATTTTTTTCAAAATTTTGAATTTTTTTGAACTTTTCAAGCTCTATTGAACTTTTTGAACTATTCAATTTTTTATAAATTATTGAATTTTTCATGTTTTTCAAAATCCTTCCATTTTCCAGATTAAATTTTTATTTTGTTTTTTCAAAATTTTCAATTTTTCAAAATTTTCAATTTTTCAAAAATTTTAATTCTTTTAGAAATTTTTGAATTTTCCATATTTTTGAAATTTTTTAAATCTTTTCTTTTTGCAATTTGATTTTTTTCAAAATTTTGAATTTGTTTGAACTTGTGGAATTCTTTTGAATTTTTTAAAAACAACAGAAAATTGCCAAAAAATAAAAAAAAAAAACTAGAAATAAAAAAAATTCGAAGATATACAAAAATTTAAAAATTAAAAATACAAAAACTACTAATATGTACTTAAAAAAAAAAAACGAAAACTATAAATAAAAGCGGGAATTTCGGAAAAAAAAGATTTTAAAAAAATACAAAAAATACGAAACTGATAAGAAAATCGAAATTTGTAAAATTGACAAAAAAAAAAAAAAAACGAAAATGGTAAAAAAAAAAATTTATGCAAAAAAATTTAAAAATGACTAAAAATAAAAAAAAAGAATAAATTTCAAGTAGAAACGAAAATTTCAAAAAGCGAAAAGTACCGAAATAGAAAAAAAAATACAAAAATTAGAATAAATATCAAAAAACATAAAAAATGTCAAAAACACGGAAATACAAAAGTTACATTAAGAATGACAAAAAATACAATATATGTATACATACATATATTTTCTATTTTTTGTAGTTTTCTTTCTTGGTAATTTTATGTTATCTTTTTTTTTATTGATATTGTATTTTCTTTTATACATGTTGTATTTTTTTGGAACTTTTCGTTTTTGATAATTTCCGATTTTTATTTAATTTTTAAAATTTTTGTGATTTTTGAAAATTTTCACTACCTTTGGAATTTTTTTATGATTTCTTCAATTTTAGTATATTTTATGATTTTTGTCATATTCGAAAGTTCAAATTTTTACCATTTTTAAAACTTTTAATGATTTTTTGGAATTTTGTATAATTTTTACAATTATTTTTCCAAACTTTTATGTTTATGATTTTTATAAATTTTTATGATTTTCGGAAATTTTCTTGATTTTTATAAATTTTTATCTTCTTAGTAAGTTTCTATAATTTTCAAGTTTTTTGGATTTTTAGAAATTTTTATGATTTTTAAATAATTATGATTTTTGCGATTTTCATAATTTCCTAGATTTTTATGATTTTTGTAAATTTTCATGAATACTTGAAATTTTCGTAATTTTTTATAATTTTTGTAATTTTTCAAGTTTTTATAATTTTGGGAAAAGAAAAAAAAATCCTAAAGTTTGACCAAAATCATAAAAATTTTCAAATATTATAGTTTTTCCGAAAATCATGAAAAATTACGAAAATTAGGAAAATTTCGAAAATCATAAAAATTTACAAAAATCATAAAAATTTACAAAAATCATAAAAATTTACAAAAATCCTAAAAATCTTTAAAAATTCCAAATATTTACTACAAAAATTCCAAAAAATTTACAAAAATTATAAAAATTTCCAAAATCACAAAAATTCTGGAAATTCAAAAAAATCATGAAAAGTTACAAAAATCATAGAAATCATAAAAAATTCCAAAAATCCTAAAAATTTACAAAAATCACAAAAATGTACGAATATCACAAAAATCATAAAAATCATGAAAATATTGAAAAATCATAATAATGAAGGCTTTTTCTGATTTTTATTTTTTTACGAAAATCACAAAAATTATAAAAATAAATACCTAAATAAAAATTTAAAAATGACTGAAAAAAAAAAGAATCAAATAGAAGCAAAAATTCCGAAAAATTACGAAGAATAAAAAAAATACAAATTTATGAAAAATTATTAAAAAAAATAAACAAAAAAAATTATTAAAAGAAAAATAACGGAATAGAAAAACAAAAAAAAATTACGAACAAATACAAAAAATACTGAAGAGCACGAAAGATACATTTTTTTATTTTGTATTTTTTTCAATATCCGGTTTTTATCTCATTTTTTTTTGTTCAATTTTGTATTTTTTAGTGTTTCTACGAGCGTGCGGGAAATGGCTCTTCCCTCACGATTTGCTGTGCGGGAAGAGTTTGAAATAATCATTGTGACATGGAATTGTTTGTATTGTTGATACACCTATACCTTTACCTTTTTTTTATAAATAGCTTCCAATACATTTCTAATTCTACCTTCAGCACAATCGCATTTTATTTAAATTAAACATCAGCTATAGTATGCTCGTAGAAAAAATATAGTTCCTAACTCTTGCGGAAACAAATTTCCCGCACTCGTTAGGAAAATAGCTATTTTTTTTGATTTTCCGCAATTTTTGTTTTTTTTTAATCTCGAATTTTTGCGATTTTCATAAGTTTTTATGATATTCTTAATTTCTAATTTTTTAAAATTTTTTAAATTATTTTTTGTAAATTCCTATGATTTTTGAGATTTTCGTAATTTTTGAATGTTTTTGATTTTCGTAAACATAATTTTCATAAATTTTGATTTTAATAAATTTCTATGATTTTTAATAAATTTCTATGATTTTTGGAAATTTCTATGATTTTTTATAATTTTCGGGAGTTTTGTAGTTTTCCTGATTTTTTTATTCCCCATAATTTTTTCGAATTTTTGTAATGTTTTGTAATTTTCATGATTTTTGTATTTCTATGATTTTTAATTTTCATAAATTTTTATGATTTTTTGTGCATTTCGTGTTTTTTAGAAATTTCCATGATTTTTGTGATTTTTTGATATTTTTATGATACATATTAGTAATTTTCGTAAATTTTTATGATTTTTTAAATTTTTACAATTTTTGAAGTTTTATGATTTTTTTGATTTTCGTAGATTTTTATGATTTTTGGAAACTTGATCATAAAAATACAAAAAAATCATAAAAATTTATAAAAATCGTAAAAATTTACGAAAATCACAAATCAAAATTTCCAAAAATCATGAAAATTTTAAAAAATTACGAAATCTTTTTGAAATTAAAAATCATAGAAATTTACAAAAATTATAAAAATCTAAGAAAATTACAAAAGATTACAAAAACTCGAAAAAATCATGAAAATTAAAAAAATCAAGAAAATTACAAAAATTACGAAAAACATAAAAATTTTCAAAAATTATAAAAATTTTCAAAAATCACGAAATGCACAAAAACTTGTAAAAATTTATTTTAAAGTCAATAATCATGAAAATTTATAAAAATTATAAAAATTTTGAAAAATTATTAAAATTAAGATACAAAAATTATTATGAAAATTTCTAAAAATCATAAAAATTCACAAAAAATCATAGAAATTATGGAAATGAAAAATCATGACAATTTAAGAAAATTACAAAAGATTACGAAAATTTGAAAAAATCATGGAAATTAAGAAAATCACAAAAATTATAAAAATTTAAGAAAATTACAAGATTTTAGAAAAATTCGAAAAAATCATAGAAATTGTAAAAAAATCGGGGAAATTACAAAAATTATGAAACTCAAAAGATGTACACAAATTTTTTTAAATTTTTATGATATTCTAAAATTTTTATGATATTTGTGTATACATATTTATTTTTTGAGATTTCCATAAATTTTAATAATATTTGTGATTTTCCAAATTTAAAAATTTACGAAAAATGCGAAAAAAATACGATAATTACAAAAAACCGCAAAAATCGTGAAAAATATAAAAAATTACAGAAAATCGAAAAAACACAAAAATTAACAAAAATTGCGAAAAATCACAAAAAATGTAATACATATTTGCAAAAAAAAAAAGATCACACAAAAAATACAAAAAATCGTAAAAAACATGAAAAATATAAAAATTATAATGATTTCAAAAAAAATATAAAAAAATTAAAAACCCAAAAATTTACAAAAATTGTAAAAATACATACGAAAATTGATAAAAATTGCGAAAAAAATTACTTAGATGATGACAAAAAATCAGAAAAATTCTGAAAAATACAAAAATTTATGAAAAATGCAAAAATTGCGAAAAATCCAAAAAATTGCTATTATTGCAAAAAAAAAAAAATAGATATACGATATGTTTATATTTATATATTTATTACAAAGAAAATATGAAAAATCATGAAAAAACAAAAAATGCAAAAACTTATGAAAATTGAGAAAAATACAAATTTTTCAAAAAAAAAAAAAAAAATCATGAAAAATTATAAAATTTACGAAAATTGCGAAAAAATAACAGGAAACCGCTAAAATTATGAAAATTTCAAAAATACAAAAATTACCGAAAATTGCGAAAAATTCGTGTTCCCCGACCCCAAAAACATCGAAAACGACATATCACATTGATTTCTATGTCCGTGCGGTAAAAACCACTTACTGCACGTAAACACCAACTTACCGTACAAACACAAAAGGAGATCGTTTTCGAGGTCAAGAATTACGAATCTGAATTTATTTTCACAAAATTTCCAATGTAAGTCCCCCTATTCAGACTAAAAAGCATCGAATGCCTCAAAATCGAAACTTAAAAGACTCGCATGATTTTCCATCGCTTGCGATCGCTTCACGCATTGAATAGCCGTGAAGCGATGTCTAAGGATGGTAAGTAGACAAAAACAGAAAAGTAAGCAAAAATGGTAAGCGGCACTTACTTGTACAACGGCAAAAGGCCTGGTGCCGGCGTCGAGCGGGTCTCCGGGAAGAATTTGCCAATGGTCGAACACACATTGCGGGAAGGCCTGCCCTCCTGTGTTGGACCTGGATTTCAAAAAAAAAAAATAAAAATAATGTAATGAAATTTTTTTCCAAATGTAATGAACTTTTTTTTAAAATTAAAATGTAATGAATTTTTCTTTGTTATTGTAATTTGTAATGATTTTTTTTGTTGATTTAATGAATTTTTTAATGTAAATTACCTAAGGTCGGCAGTGAAACCGAACGACTCGTTGACGGGCAAGTAGGCTTTGACGACGAACATGGGCGTACCGGCCACCTGCATTTCTTCGAAAACGTGCCCTCTTCTTCTGTTCAACACTCCGTAGATACCGCCGACGGCTACTTCGGGACACTGGAAATAAAATAAATCGCAAAAAATTAATGTAATGAATTTTTTCTAATGTAATGAAATTTTTTTAATGTAATGAATTTTTTTTTTAAATGTAATGATTTTTTTTTAATGTAATGCAATTTTTTCAAAAAAATGTAATGAATTTTTTTTAATGTAATGAAACTTTTTTTTAAAAATGAAATATTTTTTTTTTTAATATAATGAAATTTTTCTCAATGTGATGAAATTTTTTCAAAATGTAATGAATTTTTTTTTAAATATGTACATTTAATAAATTTTTTTTCAAAAATGTAATGAAATTTTTTCAATGTAATGAATTTAAAAAAAAAATGTGATTGATTTTTTTTTAATATAATGAATTTTTTTTTAAATGTAATGAATTTTTTTTTTAATGTAATGGAACTTTTTTAATATAATGAATTTTTTTTTTTAATGTAATGAAATTTTTCTTAAAGTGATGGAATTTTTTTTTAAAAATGTAATGAAATTTTTTTAAAATGTAATAAATTTTTTTCAATGTAATGAAATTTTTTTCAAAAATGTAATAAATTTTTTTCAATGTAATGAAATTAAAAAAAAAAAAAAAAATGATTTTTTTTTAATGTAATGATTTCTTTTAATGTAATGAATTTTTTTTTTTAAATGCAATGATTTTTTTTTTTCAATGTAATGAATTTTTTTTAATGTAATGATTTTTTTTTTAATTTAATGATTTTTTTTCAATATAATGAAATTTTTCTCAAAGTGATGAAATTTTTTTAAAATGTAATATTTTTTTTTAAATGTAATGAAATTTTTTTTCAAAAATGTAATAAAATTTTTTCACTGTAATGAATTTAAAAAAAAATAAAATTGATTTTTTTTAATGTAATGATTTCTTTTAATGTAATGAATTTTTTTTTTTAAATGTAATGATTTTTTTTTTTTTCAATGTAATGATTTTTTTTTTAAATGTAATGATTTTTTTTTAATGTAATGCAATTTTTTCAAAAAAATGTAATGAATTTTTTTTAATGTAATGAAACTTTTTTTTAAAAATGAAATATTTTTTTTTTAATACATATAATGAAATTTTTCTCAATGTGATGAAATTTTTTCAAAATGTAATGAATTTTTTTTTAAATATGTACATTTAATAAATTTTTTTTCAAAAATGTAATGAAATTTTTTCAATGTAATGAATTTAAAAAAAAAATGTGATTGATTTTTTTTAATGTAATGAATTTTTTTTTAAATGTAATGAATTTTTTTTTTTTAATGTAATGAAATTTTTTTTAATGTAATGGAACTTTTTTTAATATAATGAATTTTTTTTTTTAATGTAATGAAATTTTTCTTAAAGTGATGGAATTTTTTTTTAAAAATGTAATGAAATTTTTTTAAAATGTAATATTTTTTTAAATGTAATGAAATTTTTTTCAAAAATGTAATAAAATTTTTTCAATGTAATGAAATAAAAAAAAAAATAAAATTGATTTTTTTTTAATGTAATGATTTCTTTTAATGTAATGAATTTTTTTTTTTAAATGTAATGATTTTTTTTTTTTCAATGTAATGAATTTTTTTTTAATGTAATGATTTTTTTTTTTAATGTAATGATTTTTTTTCAATATAATGAAATTTTTCTTAAAGTGATGAAATTTTTTTAAAATGTAATATTTTTTTTTTAAATGTAATGAAATTTTTTTTCAAAAATGTAATAAAATTTTTTCAATGTAATGAATTTAAAAAAAAAAAATTGATTTTTTTTTTAATGTAATGATTTTTTTTTAATGTAATGAATTTTTTTTTTTTAAATGTAATGATTTTTTTTTTAATGTAATGAATTTTTTTTTAATGTAATGATTTTTTTTTTAAATGTAATGATTTTTTTTCAATATAATGAAATTTTTCTTAAAGTGATGAAATTTTTTTTTAAAAATGTAATGAAATTTTTTTAAAATGTAATTTTTTTTTTTAAATGTAATGAATTTTTTTTCAAAAATGTAATGAAATTTTTTCAATGTAATGAAATTTTTTCAATGTAATGAAATTTTTTCAATGTAATGAAATTTTTTCAATGTAATGAAATTTTTAAAAATGTAATGAAATTTTTTAAAATGTAATGAAATTTTTTTAATGTATTGTATCCTGCGTTTCCAACCAAGATATTTTATCGAATTGAAAAAACTTGGGGGATTTTACAGGAAAATTTAATTTTCCAGCATTTTCGCGCAGCAAAGTTTTTGATTTAAACGACACTGCATGGGATAATGCTGGACAATTTTTAATGTAATGGGAAATTTATTATAATTTATAATGAATTGTATGTAATGAAAATTGTATTGGATGGTTATATTATGTAATGATAAAGTTATTGTATTGCAAAAAATTAGAAAAATGTATTCAAGAATTTAATGTAATAAATAATGTAATGTATGTTATGAAAAATGTAACGTAATGTAATGACAAAACTATGTATTGGAAAAATTAATGCAATGGAAAAACGGAAATTCTATCAAATTTCTTGGAATTCTATCATAAAATTTTCTGGAATTTTACGATAAGATTTCATGATATTTCTCAAAGTTACACCTGAATATTTCATGAAATTCCTTGCAATTCTATTGTAATTTTACAAATTATCGAAATTTTCATGTAATTCTATGGAAATTTCGCAAAAATTCCCTTTAATTGCATAAAAATTTCTTGGAATTCCATTTTAAAATTTCATGAAAATTTCGTATTTCATTCAATTCCGTAAAAAGTAGAAACTTAATGTAATTCCACAAAAATTCTTCGGAATTCAATTTCAAAATTTTCTGAGATTTTGCTATAAAATTTCATAAAATATCTTGTTTTTTTACTGTAATTTCACAGAAATTTATCAATATTTTACGAATTCTTTTTGTGAATTTCGCAGAAATGTTTTGTTTGTTCAAGAGAATTTTTACGGAATTCCACTATAAAATTCCATGAAATTTTGCCAAATTTCACCATTGGAAGTTTTTGAAATTTCACTGGAATTTCATGTAAATTGAAAAGAATTGCTTGGGATTCCACTTAAATTTCCTGAGAATTTTTCGGAGTTTCACTGAAATTCTACGTGACTTGACGGAAATTCCTCAAAAAATTTCATGTAATTACATGGGAATTATTCGGAATTTTACTAAAATTCCATGTAATATTGCCAGGAATTTGACAAAATTCCAATAACACTTCATGTAATTTAGTGAAAGTAAATTTTCATAAAATTCAAGTTGAATTCCGAACAATTCTCGTCGATATACATGGAATTTCAGTGAAATTCTAATGTAATTTTTATTGGAATTTCGAAGAATTTTTCATTATAAACATAAAATTTCAGTGAATTTTGAAAAAATTTGCATGGAATTACGGAAATTTCAGTAAAATTTCAGATTTTAAAAAATTCGAATGGAATTTCGTGCAATTCTCTTCGGTTTACGTGGAATTTCAGTGAAGTTCTAAAAAAATTCCATGTTACATGAAATATTAGTAAAATTCCAATAATTTTCCCAAAATTTTAGTGGAATTCCAAGCCATTCTCGTCGATTCACATGAAGTTTTATTGGAATTTAGTCAAATTCCTGGCTAATATTACATGGAATTTTAGTAAAATTCCGAATAATTCTCATGTAATTACATGACATTTTAGTCAAATTTAGAGGAATATCCGTCGAATCATAAGCAATTCCCTTCAATTTACATGAAATTCCAGTGAATTTCCGAAAAATTCCAGTGGTGGAATCTGGAACAAATTCATATTTACCAGTTTATCAAGTTTTATTGAATGTTTCAGTTTTTTTGAATTTTTTGAACTCTCATGTTCAAATTATTTTTCTAGAGTTTTGAATTTTTTTGAACTTGTCAATTTTTTTTGAATTTTTTAAACATTTTTAATTTTCTGGAAATTTTTGAATTTCGCATATTTTTTAAAAAATTTCAAATTTTTTCGAACTTTTAAATTTTCTAAAAAAAAATTGAATTTTTCCAGTTTTTGAATTTTTCAAAAACCTTTCATTGAAAATTGAAGCTTTCTGATTTTTTTTCAAAGCTCTGAATTTTTTTAAAACGTGTGAAGATCTTGAATTTTTTGAACATTTTGAATTTTTTAGAAACTTTTGAATTTTCATTTTGATTTATTTTCATAGTTTTGAATTTTTTGAACTTGTCCTTGAATTTTTTGAAAGTATTTTTAATTTTTTTTTGAATTTTTCATGTTTTTTGAAATTTTTCAAGTCTTTTAAGTTTTTATTTTAATTTTCACATACATGTGTATTTTGATTAAAATTTTTCAACATTTTTAGAAAAAAAATTTTAATGTTTTTTTTTCACTTGAAAGTTCTTTTCAACATTTTAAATTTTCTGAACATTTTTGAATTTTTCATTTTTTTTCAAATTTCTTAAATCTCCAATTTTCCAATTTTTTTTTTTTTTTTTTTGAATTTTTTAATTTTATTGAATTTTTTAATTTTTTTTGAATTTTTCAATTTGTTTGAATATTTTAAATTTTGTAGGAATTTTTGAATTTATTAAGTTTTTGAAATTTTTTAGATCTTTTTATTTTGAAGATTGGATTTTTTTGAATTTTTTTAAACTTGTTAAGTTTTTTTGAATTTTTTAAACTCATGAGTTTCTAAACATTTTTGAATGTTTTGAATTTTTTTGATTTCATCAGTTTTTTTAAATTATTTATTTTGATTTTATTCAAAGTTTTAAATTTTTTTGAACCTGTCAAGGTCTTTTGAATTTTTTGAACAGTTTTTAAAAATGTTTTATATTTTTTAAATCTTCCCATATTTTCTGACTTATCAAGTTTTTTTAAATTTTTAAAATCTTTTGTTTTTGAATTTTTTTAAATTTTTTGATTTTCTATAATTTTTTAGAAAATTTTGAAATCTCGAAAAACTCCAGGAAATTTCAAAGAAAATAGTTTTTTTAAAAAAATACCAAAAAATCCCAAGAAATTTCGAAAATGCCAAAAAATTTCAAAAAATAGTAAAAGCAACAAATTTCAAAAAATTCCAGAAAATTCTAAGGAATTCCAAAAAAAAAAAAATCCCAAAGTATTCCAAAAAATGCCAAAAGATTCCAAAAATGAGTAAAAACACCAAATTTCAAAAAATTCCGAAAAATCCCAGGAAATTCGAAAGAAACCAAAAATTGTCAAAAAATAACAATACATACCGAAAAACACCAAATTCTAAAAAATTCCAAAAAATGCCAAAAATCCAAAAAATTCCGAAAAATTTCAGGAAATTTCCAAAAAACCAAAAATACCAAAATATTCCAAACACCAGATTCCAAAAAATGCCAAAAAAATGCCAAAAAATACCTAAATTTCCAAAAAATATCAAAACATTCCACAATTTTGCCAAATTTCACCATTGAAAGTTTTTGAAATTTCACTGGAATTTCATGTAAATTGAAAAAAATTGCTTGAGATTCCACTTAAATTTCCTGCAAATTTTTCAGAGTTTCACTGAAATTCTACGTTACTTGACGGAAATTCCTCAAAAAATTTCATGTAATTACACGGGAATTATTCGGAATTTTACTAAAATTCCATGTAATATTAGCCAAGAATTTGACAGAAGTCCAATAAGACTTCATGTAATTACGAGGACAATTTTCGGAATTTGAATTTCCAAGTTATTAGCCGGAACCTTCTTCGAAGTCCAATAAAACTTCATGTGATTACGGACAATTTTCGGAAATTCACCAAAATTTAGAATTTCCTCATTTTTTAAAGAAATTTGAATTCCCGCACTTTTTCCAAAGAAATTTGAAATTTTCCCTTTTTATCAAAAAAATTTAAATTCCTTCACTTTTTCCAAAAAATTTGGAATTCCCTCACTTTTTGAAAAATATTTGAAATTCCTTCACTTTTCACAAAAAAATTGAATTCCTAAATTTTTTCCCGAAAAATTGAAATTCTCTCACTTTTTTGGAAAAATTTGAAATTCCCTCACTTTTATGAAAATTTTTGAAATTACTTCAGTTTTTTCAAAAAATTTGGATTCACTCAATAAATTCAAAGTCCCTAATTTTTTCAAAAAATTTGGAATTTTCACGCTTTTTTTGACAAAATTTGAAATTCCCTCACGTTTTGGCATTTTTGCAATTTTTTGAAATTTGGTGTTCTTACTGTTTTTCGAATTTTTCAGCATATTTTAAAATATCTTGATATTTTTTGGAATTTCTGAAATTTTGTGGAATGTTTTGGTATTTTTGGCATTTTTTGGAATTTGGTGCTTGGAATTTTTTGGTTTTTTTTAACAATTTTTGGTATTTTTTAACAATTTTTGAAATTTCCTGAAATTTTTCGGAATTTCTTGGATTTTTTGGCATTTTTTGGAATTTTTTAGAATTTGGTGTTTTTTGGCATTTTCATGATTTTTGTGATTTTTGTAACTTCCTGATTTTCTTAATTTCAATAATTTCCATGATTTTCTCGAAATATTGTAATCTTGAATTTTTATGAATTTTTAAATGATTTTTATGGTTTTTGTAAATTTTAATAATTTTGGGGCGATTTATGTAATTTTCTATGATTTTTGTTATTTTTCTTATTTTTGAGATTTTTTGAAATTTGGTGTTTTTACTCATTTTTAGAATCTTTTGGCATTTTTTGGAATTTCTTGGAGTTTATTGAAATTTGATGCTTTTAGTAGTTTTTACTGTTTTTTAGGAATTTTTCAGCATTTTTTGGAATACTTTGGTATTTTTTTTTTTGAATTTCTTGTTTTTTTCAGAATTTCCTGGAGTTTTTAATTTTTTGGAATTTTTTGAAATTTGTTGCTTTTACTGTTTTTTGAAATTTTTTGGCATTTTCGAAATTTCTTGGGATTTTTTGAAATTTCCTGGAGTTTTTCGGAATTTCAAAATTTCTTAGAAAATTATAGAAAATCAAAAAATTTAAAAAAATTCAAAAACTTAATAAACTGGAAAAAAAAAGATTTTAAAAATTTTAAAAAACTTGATAAGTCGGAAAATATGGAAAAATTCAAAAAAGATCAAAAAATATGAAAAATTTTTAGAAGCTGTTCAAAAAATTCAAAAGACCTTGACAAAATTTCATGTAATGCTATGGAATTTTTCCGGAATTTCACTAAAATTCCATGTTTTTGGCCGAAAATTCCTCATAATTCCAATAAAACATCATGTAATTACGAAAATTTTTCGGGAACTTATTAATGTAAATCGAAAGGCATTGCACAAAATTCCACCAAAATTTCATGAAATTATCCGAAATTTGACTGAAATTCCAGTAATTCCATTTAAATTTTTTGGGAATTTGATTGAAATTCCATGTTTTTAACGGGGAATTCTTCGAAATTCCGATAAAATTTTATGTTATTACATCGGTTTCACTAAAATTCCAGGTTTTTAGCAGAAAATTCCTTGAAATTCCAATAGAACTTCATGTAATTAGGGACACTTTTCGGAAATTTACTAAAATTTTATGAAAATTACCAGAATTTCACTACAATCGAATTCCTCAATTCAACGCAACGACGTCAAAATTTCACTTAAATTTAATGGGAATTCTACTGCATTTTCATGTAATCCGACTTTTCATGTTATGGATATTATTAATGTAATAAAGAGAAATTAATGTACATACATATAAGAAAAAATAATGTAATGAAAAATGTAATGTAATAGAAAATATAATGCACCTAATGAAAAATGTAATGTAATGAAATTTTTCAATGTAATAAAAAAAATAATGTAATGAAAAATTATTGCATTCAAAATTTTAATGTAATAAAAAAAGTTAATTAACGGAAAATGTAATGAAATGAAAAATTTGTTCCACTGAAAATTTTATTGTAATGAAACTTTCAATGAAAAATGTAATATAACAAAAAATTTTCATGTCAGGAAAAAAAATTGTGTAATGAAAAAAATTATGAATGTGATGAAACATTAAGTTTTATTTAAAATTTCAATATAATGAAAAATATAATGTAATGAAAAATTCGTTTCACTGAAAATTTTATTGTAATGAAACTTTCAATGGAAAGTTTTAATGTAATAAAAAATGTAATCTAATGAAAAAAAAAATGTAATGAAAAATTAATTTTTGGAATTTTAATCTAATGAAAAAAGGATTGTAATGAAAAATTTTCGTGTAATGAAAAATTTCAATGTTATAAAAAATGTAATGTAATGAAAAAAAATGTAATAAAAAATTGGTTTTATTTGAAATTTTAATGTAATAAAAAAATGATTGTAATGAAAAATTTTCATGTCATGAAAAAAAATAAGTACATATAATGAAAAATTTCAATGTTATAAAAAATGTAATGAAAATATAAAAAAATGGTTTTTGGAATTTAGATGTAATGAAAAAGGGATTGTAATGAAAAATTTTCATGTCATAAAAAAATAAGTATAATGAAAAATTTCAATGTTATAAAAAAATGTAATGTGATGAAATAAAAAATGTAATGAAAAATTTGTTTTATTTCAAATTTCAATGTAATGAAAAATTTTCATGTCATAAAAAAAATTGGTGTAATGAAAAATTTCAATGTTATTGAAAATTTTATGTAATGAAAAAAAAAATGTAATGAAAAATTTGTTTTATTTAAAATTTCACTGTAATGAAAAATTTACTGCTACGAAAAATTTTCATGCCAAGATAAAAATTAAAATTAATGCAATGAAAATTTATTTCAATTAAAATTTCAATGCAATAAAAATGTAATGAAAAAAAAGTAATGTAATAAATTTTTTTAATATATAATGAAAAATGTAATTCAATAAAAATGTTCATGTAATGAAAAATTTAAATGTAATGAAAATTTAAAAAAAAAATGTAATGACAAAAAAAAACCCTCACCTGAATTTCACACTGGTAAACGGGCTCCATAAGTCTGGGCGCGGCCGTCAACAGACACGCGTACAAACAACGACGAGTGGTGGGAATAATTTGACCGCCGCCCCTGTGGATGGCGTCAGCGTGCAAAGTGACATCGAAAATGTTGAAGCGGACGCCGCGCAAATTCTCCTCGGACAACACGCCCTCTTTGGTCGCCCACTGGAACCCGGCGACGACCGAATCTTTGATTTCGTTCAAGTATTGGACTCCCTTCGTACAGTCGACGAGGATGTTGGGTCCAGTGCCGTCCGGGCCGAAACACCAGATTTTTCTCGCTTCGGTGACGTCATAGTCGTACTTTTCGCCAAGGTAACGCGCACGCGCTTTGAATTCGTCACGGGGATTGACTTTGCCGTCGTCGATGTCTTCGGCCAAGCCGTCGGGCATCGGTTGCGCTTTCATGAACAATCTGGAAAAAATTAAGTTTTCAATGCTTTTAACTCAGAAACTATCAAAAATACGTCAAAATGATCTGAGTAGTGATTTGTAGAGAATTTATTTGGCTTTATTTTAAGCCTAATTACGTCAAAATCGGATTAGAATTAACGGAGTTATGAGGCAAAATGTATCATTTTTGAAAACAAAAAACAAATTTTGACATATTTTAATATAACTGTCAATTACTCGAAAACTAATCAAAAAAGGTGAATTTTTGTTTTTGCCAATCGATAAAGAAAACATGAGCGCACGTCACTGTACTTATAAAATTTTTCAAAAAAACTCAAATAAAAATATACAAAATGTGACAATTTTGATTTTTTTCAACCTTGTTTATTTTTAATTTATCGTCAATTAATTTTTGAATAATCGACAGAGAATAGTTAAGCGCACGACACTGTGTTAATAAAATTTCTCTAAAAATCTCAGATTTTCAAGAAAAAAAACATAAAAATTTGACAAATAATGTATTTTTTGTACAGTAGCGTGCCGCCTTTGGGCATAAAGATAGAGGCCCCGCGACAGCGTTTAAATACAAAAAAAATTCACTTTTCGTCCGTACGGCACTGCCGACAGTGTCATCGGTTCCGGCAGCGACCTCTAGGGCCACCGACCGAAACCTACACTGCGGCTCTTTATTGTGCCGGACGTGTTTTTTTGACACATTATGTCAAATGTGTCAAAAAAAATAAAAACTGTCAATAAAGCAGCTGTCAAAACATCCCGAAAAATATAGGAAAAAAAAAAACAATAAACTCAAGGAGTGACACACCAAAATACAAGAAACAAAAAAAATATATCAATTTTGTTGATAGAATTTTTTTTGACAGCTGTCAAAATTCAAATTTGACAGTTGGATGTCCAATGAGTTTATAATAAAAATGACATTTATTTGTCAAATGATTTTAAAAATAAAATGCTTGAGTGAGCTTCAAACTTGTGACATTTTTGTTGATTGAAGTTGTGAAATTTTTGACATCTGTCAAAATTTGATATTTGGATGTCCGATTAGGTTGTAAAAAAAATTGACACCTGTCAAAAAGTCACAATTTCCGACAATAAAATGTCAATAGTTAAGCTTCAAATTGTATCAGTTTTTTTTTACTAACATTGGAACATTTTCGACAGCTGTCAAAATTGAATTTGACAATTAGAAGTTCGATGAGATCGCGAAAAAAAAATTAATACCTGTCAAAATGTCACGATTTTTGACAATGAGATGTCGATTATTGAGCTTCAAATTTGTGTAATTTTTATTGATTGAAATTCAAAAATTTTCGAAAGCTGTCAAAATTTGACAGTTTGATGTCCCATGAGGTTATTAAACAAGAACACCTGTCAAATTTGTCTCATTTTTGTTGATTGAAATTTAAAAAATTTCAACAGCTGTCAAAATTTGACAGATGGATGTCCAATGAGACTGTTAAAAAAGGAACACCTGTCAAATGTCACGATTTTTAACAATGAGAAGTCAATTATTATTTAACTTCAAATTTGTGTCATTTTTGTTGATTTGAATTCAAATTTTTTTGACAGCTGTCAAAATTTGGAAATTGGATATCCAATGAGGTTGTAAAAAGAAGGAAACCTGTCAAATATTACGATTTATGACAATGACATGTCAATTATTGAACTTCAAATATGTGTCATTTTTGTTGATTGAAATTCAAAAATTTTTGTCAGCTGTCAATATATATTCAACAGTTAAATATCCAATGAGGTTGTTGAAAAAAAAAAAAAACATCTGTCAAATGTCATAATTTTTGACTATGAAATGTCAACAGTTGTCAAAATTTGACAGTTGGCGTCCAATGAGTTTGTTGAAAAAACAACACCGGTTAAATGTAAAAAAAAAGACTCCGGCTAAATGTCACGATTTTTGACAATAAAATGTCAATTATTGTCAATTATGTCCAACCTGTCAAATGTCACGAATATTGATAATGAGATGTCAATTATTGAGCTTCAAATTTGCATCATTTTTGTTGATTGAAATTCGAAAAAAAATTGATAGCTGTCAAAATTTGAAATTTGAATGTTTAATGAGGTTATAAAAACAAGGAAACTTGTCAAATGTTACGATTTTTGACAATTAGATGTCAATTATTTAGCTCCAAATTTGTATAATTTTTATTGATTGAAATTCAAAAAAATTCGATTGCTGTCAAAATTTGAAAGTTGGATGTTTAATGGGGTTATAAAAACAAAGAAAGACACCTGTCACAAATGTCACGATTTTTGACAATGAGATGTCAATTATTTAGCTTCCAATTTGTATCATTACTGTCGTAGAAATTCAAAAATTTTCGACAAATGTCAAAATTTAAAAATTGGATATAAGATATTTGACAAATTCGCTATTTTTGATAATAAATTTAATGTCGATTGAGATTCTAATTTGTGTCATTTTTGTTGATTGAAATTGGAAAATTTTCGACAAGTGTCAAAATATGACAGTTGGATCTTCAATGAGGTTGTTCAAGAAACAAGACACCTGTGCTTCAAACTGATAAAAAATTTAAAAAAATTAAAAGCTATCAAAATTTGACAGTTGGACGCCCAATGAGTTTGTTGAAAAAACAACACCGGTTAAATATAAAAAAACAACTCCGGCTAAATGTCACGATTTTTGACAATAAACAAATGTCACGAATATTGATAATGAGATGTCAATTATTGAGCTTTAAATTTGTATCATTTTTGTTGATTGAAATTCGAAAAAGATTGATAGCTGTCAAAATTTGACAGTTGGATCTTCGATGAGGCGGTTCAAAAAAAAAGGACACCGGTCAAATGTCACAATTTTTGATAATAAAATGTCCACTATTGAATTTCAAATTTGTTGATGTTGATTGATTGACAAAATTAACTGATAGAAATTAGAAAAAATTTTGACAGCGGTCAAAATTTCGCAGTTGATCTCTAATGAGGATTTTCAAAAAAAGGACACCTGTCAAATGTTACGATTTTTGACACATGTCAATTGAGCTTCAAAACTTTCGTTGATGAAATTGGAAAATTTCCGACAGCTGTCAAAATTTGACAGTTGGATCTCCAATGAGGTTATTGGAAAAAAAGAACACCTATCAAATGTCGCTATTTTTGACAATAACGTGTCAATTAGTGAATTTCGAACTGATGTCATTTTTAATTTTCAACACCTGTCAAAATTGAATTTGACACTTAAATGTCTGATTGAGTGATACCATAAAATAATGAATTTTTTTTTTCAATTGGAATCGAAGGGTGACTCCACAAATTAAAAAAATTACAATCGAGGAGTGACACCATAAAACAAAAATAATAAAATCCAGGAGTGATACCACAAAATACAGGAAAGAAAAATAAATAAAAATTAATGACCAACAGCACAAAACTACAGTTTTTTTTTATCTAGGAGTGAGCACAAAATACAGAAAAAAAAAATGAAATCGAGGAGTGACACCATAAAATACAGGAAAAAAAAAATCAAATTTAGGAGTGACACCATAAAATACAGGAAAGAAAAATTAAAATCGAGGAGTAATACCACAAAATACAGAATTTGTGACACTACAAAATAAAGAAAAAACAAAAGTCGAGGAGTGACACCACACAATAAAAAATATATATATCAAAATCGAGGGGTGACACCACAAAATAAATAGAAAAAATTGAAAAGTGATGCCAAAAAATAATTTTAAAAAAAATGAAAATCACTAAAATAAAGGATATATTTTTTTTTGAATCGAGGAGTGACACCACAAAATACAGGAAAGAAAAAAAAAATTAAATCAAGGAGTGATACCATTGAAAACAGGAAAGAAAAAATAATAAAAATCAATGAGTGACACCACAAAACTACAGATTTTTTTTTTAAATCTAGGAGTGATACCAAAAAATACAGGAAAAAATAATTAAAATCCAGGGGTGACACCACAAAATAAGTGAAAAAAAAAAACGAGAAATGACACCGTAAAATACAGAAAAAAAAATCGAGAAGTGATACCACAAAATAATTTTAAAAAAATATATTTTTAAAAATAAAGGAGTGACACCACAAAACAAAATACAGAAAAGTAAAAAATAAATAAAATCGAAGAGTGACACCATAAAATACAGGAAAGAAAAAAATGATAAAAATCAATGAGTGACACCATACAACTAGATTTTTTTTTTTAAATCTACGAGTGATACCACAAAATACAGGAAAAAAAATTTAAATCCAGGGGTGATACCACCAAATATAGGAAAAAAAATTAAAATTGCTAAAATAAAGGATATATTTTTTTTTAATCGAGGAGTGACACCGCAAAATGCAGGAAAGAAAAAAAAATCGAGGAGTGACACCATTAAATACAGGAAAGAAAAAATAAATAAAAATCAATGAGCGACACCACAAAACAACAGATTTTTTTTAATCTAAGAGTGATACCACAAAATACAGGAAAAAAAAATAAAACTAGGGGCGACACCACAAAATCAATACAAAATAATTTTTTTAAAAAATCTTTTTTTAAAAATCAAGGATTGACACCACAAAATACAGGAGAAAAAAAAAATAAAATCGAAGTGACACCATAAAATACAGGAAAGAAAAAAAAAAAAATTGAAGAGTGACACCATAAAATACAGGAAAGAAAAAAATAATAAAAATCAATGAGTGACACCACAAAACTACAGATTTTTTTAAAATCTAGGAGTGATACCACAAAATACAGGGAAAAAAATTTAAAATCCAGGGGTGACAGCACAAAATGAATTAAAAAAAAACGGGAAGTGACACCTCAAAATACAGGAAAAAAAAATCGAGGAGTGATACCACAAAATAATTTAAATTTTTTTTTTTTTTAAATCAAGGAGTAACACCACAAAATACAGGAAAGAAAAAATAAATTAAATCGAGAAGTGACACCATAAAATACAGGAGAGAAAAAAATAAAAAAAAGCAATGAGTGACACCACAAAACTACAGATTTTTTTTAAATCTAGGAGTGATACCACAAAATACAGGGAAAAAAATTTAAAATCCAGGGGTGACAGCACAAAATGAATTAAAAAAAAACGGGAAGTGACACCTCAAAATACAGGAAAAAAAAATCGAGGAGTGATACCACAAAATAATTTAAAACTTTTTTTTTTTAAATCAAGGAGTAACACCCCAAAATACAGGAAAGAAAAATTAAATAAAATCGAAGAGTGACACCATAGAATACAGGAAAGAAAAACATAATAAAAATCAATGAGTGACGCAACAAAACTAAATTTTTTTTTTAAATCTAGGAGTGATACCATGAAATACAGAAAAAAAAATTGAAATCCAGGAGGACACCACAAAATAAATGAAAAAAAAAAAAAAAAACGAGAAGTGACACCGCAAAATACAGGAAAAATAAATCGAGGAGTGATACCACAAAATAATTTAAATTTTTTTTTTTTTTAAATCAAGGAGTAAGACCACAAAATACAGGAAAGAAAAAATATTTTAAATCGAGAAGTGACACCATAAAATACAGGAGAGAAAAAAATAAAAAAAATCAATGAGTGACACCACAAAACTACAGATTTTTTTAAAATCTAGGAGTGATACCACAAAATACAGGGAAAAAAATTTAAAATCCAGGGGTGACAGCACAAAATGAATTAAAAAAAAACGGGAAGTGACACCTAAAAATACAGGAAAAAAAAATCGAGAAGTGATACCACAAAATAATTTAAAACTTTTTTTTTTTTTAAATCAAGGAGTAACACCCGAAAATACAGGAAAGAAAAAATAAATAAAATCGAAGAGTGACACCATAGAATACAGGAAAGAAAAACATAATAAAAATCAATGAGTGACGTAACAAAACTAAATTTTTTTTTTTAAATCTAGGAGTGATACCATGAAATACAGAAAAAAAAATTGAAATCCAGGAGGACACCACAAAATAAGCGAAAAAAAAAAAAAAAAACGAGAAGTGACACCGCAAAATACAGGAAAAATAAATCGAGGAGTGACACCACAAAATACAGAAAAGTAAAAAATAAATAAAATAGGATTGGTTCGGGCCCATGAGAACTTTTTATCAGGAAGTCAAGGTCTAACACATATCAAAATTTCATTGAGTTTGACAGAAAACCAAAAACCCATAAGAGGTGTGCGGGGTCCTTTCATTGAATTTTGAAAATAATTTATCTAACGAGTTTCGATAAATTAAAAAAAAAAAATTGAAAAATATTTTGAGATTTTGTAAGACATTATAAACTTATTGGAAAAAAATTATTCAATGAATTTCAAGAATTGTTTCAAACAAAAAATTTGTTCAACGAGTTACAAATAATTTAAAAACGTTTTTTGATATTTCTGGAATTTTTCAAGGAATTCAATAAAAACTCGTTGGAAAAAAAATCCATCAAATTTCATTAAATTTTGAAAATAATTGAACCAACGAGTTTCAAATCTAGGAAGAGTGATACCACAAAATACAGGAAAAAAAAAATAAAATGGAGAAGTGATACTACAAAATACATGAAAGAAAAAAAAACAAAAATTGAAGAGTGTCATCACATAACTAAAAATTCTCACCTGTTGTGTTTGTTGGGCGATTTCGACAGGCACATCTGGTCGGACTCTTCGCTGACGGTTTCACGGTAGGAGACGACCGGGTCGGACTTTTTGATCGGAATGCAGGCGTGGTCGTCTTCCAAATCTTTCAGGCAAATTTCCAAGTGAAGCTCACCGGCTCCGGCAATGATGTGCTCGCCGGATTCTTCGATGATGCACTGCACCATAGGGTCGGATTTGGCCAGACGTTTCAATCCTGAAAAAAAAATAAAATTGAGTTGTAGATAAAAAAAATTGAGTCGTAGATAAAATTTTCAATCATAAATAAAATTTGCGTACAATTTTTGAGTAAAAATCAGAAAAATTCAATTGAATGAATTTTGAATTACTCTGACTGTTCCAATTGTTCTAATTCTAGTAATTCTGTTCTAACTATGTACTCTAAATAATTGTTCTTATTTTATTTTTGACTTTGCTCGAAAAATCCAAAATCTAGAAAACAAAAAATTTATAAAATTCGGAAAAAAAAAAAATTGAAAATCCCAAATATTCGAAAATGAAAGAAGTAGAATTTGAAAAAAATCGATTTTTTTTTTTATTTTTAATCTTCAAAAAATTCAAAAAAAATGGCAGTTAAACTAAAAAGGAATCGAAATTGTCTCACTGTAGGAAACTGCAGTAAATATCGATACGAATTACTGCAGGGCAAATTGTGACGTTGATTTTTCGAATTTTCCAGAAAACATACTCATCAATCAATATGCTCTATACTAGGAAAATTCGATTTAAAAAAAAAATACAAAATATGTAAATAGAAAAAACTAAAATTAAAAATAACCCAAAAAAACCCGCAAAAGTTAATTAAACAACAAACAAAAAAGCCAACAAAGTAAAAAAAAATCAAAAAAAATTCAAAAAAGTAAGAAAAATGTATAAAATTTGGAAAAAAAATAATTTAAAAACCCAAAAAAGTCCAAAAAAGCCAAAAAAATAAGATAAAATCAAGAATTTTAAAAATTTGAAAAAAATTTAAAAACTCAAAAAAGTTTTAAAAAAAAACAAAAATGTTGAAAAAAAAAAAAAATATAAAACTCGAACAAAATTAAAGATACATACTGAAAAAGTTCAAAAAACCCGGAAAAGTTGACCAAACCCAAAAGCGTTCAAAAAAAGTTGAAAAAAATCAAAATTCCGAAAAGCTTCATAAAATTTGTAAAAATTTATGGAATTCGAAAAAATTAAAAGGACTCAAAAAAACCTTAAAAAGTTATCCATATTCAAAAAAATTCTAACAAGTTGGAAAAAATCATAAATTCAAAAAAGTAAAAAAAAAACTCATGAAAATATCAAGGCATGAAAAGTTCAAATACTGGACAAAACTAAAAAAAATTAAAATCAAGAAAAAAATTCAAAAGTATGAAAAAAATTCAAAAATATTTAAAAAATCCAAAAAACCCAAAAATATGAAGAAAAAAAAACTCGAAAATATAGAAAAAAGTTCAAGATTAGAATTCAAAAAAATTTAAATTTGAAATAACTTAAAAAAATTCAAAAATATGAAAAAAATTCAAAAGAACTTGAACTCGAAAATATTAAAAAAAAATTGAGACTTGAAAAATTCAAAAAAAATCAAATAACTGAACAAATTCAAAAATATCAAAAAATTCAAGAATAATAAAAATATCAAAAAAAAATTAAAATAAAAAAAAAAACTTGTTAAACTCGAAAATATAAAAAAAATATCAAGACATAAAAACTTACAATTACAATTATTAAAAAACTTTTGTTTGGTTAAATTTTTTGAATTTTTTTCATATTCTTGACTTTTTTGATTTTTTTTTTGCATTTGTTCAGTTTTTTAATTTTTTTTATTTGTATTTTTGACTTTTTTAAGTTCTTTAAATCTTCTTATCAATTTTATTAGATTTTTTTGACTAAAAAATTCAAAAAAAAACATGTTTTAGAATTTTTCAAGTCTTGATTTTTTTTTACATTTTTTAATAAGAATGTCAAAATTTGAAAAAATCGAAAATTTAAAGAAATTCAAAAAAATTCAAAAATTTTAAAAAAAAATTACCAAAAAATTTATAAAAACTTGGTAAAATCGAGAATATGAAAAAAAAATCAAAAAACTCGCAAAATTCAAAACATTCAAAAAAATTAAAAAATTTTGAAAAAGGTGTTAAATAAATACAGTCTTCAACAAGTTTTAGAAATTGTATTAGTTTCAGTACAATTTAAATTTACTTTAAAACATTTAAATTGAAAGAATTCAAAAAATTTAAAAAACTTCACATCCACAAAAATTCAAAAACATAAAAAAAAAAACTAAAAAATTCAATTCAATTCTACTTTTTGAATTTTTTCCATATTTATGAATTATTTTGGATATTCCCAGTTATTTTGAATTTTTTGGTGTTTTTGAATTATTAAAATCTTGAAATTTGTTTTTATTTTCAAGTTTTAAATTTTTAATTTTTTTTTCTTCATATTTTTGAATTTTTTCATATTTTTGATTATTTTTGGATTTGTCCAATTTTTTGAATTTTTGATTTTTTTATATTTTTCAGTTCGTGAATTTTTAGAATTTTTTTGGATTGCCTAATGTTTTGAATTTTTTGGATTTGTTCAATTTTTTGAAGTCTTGAATTTTCGAGATCAAAAAATCGATAAAAAATAGAAAAATTCATGGAAAAAATCGTAAAATTCGATTAAATTAAAAAAACCCAAAAAAGTTTTAAAAAAACCCAAAAAAGTTTTTAAAAAACTCAAAAAAGTTACAAAAAACCGAGAAAAATTCATGTAACTCAACAAAGTATAAAAAACCCAGTTTTTTTTTTAAATTATTTGTACTAAATGTAGTACAATCATCACTAAAAATACTTGGAATTGCGTTTTCAATCACGTAAATAAATGTACTAAATCTAGTATGTACACATTTCAAAATTGGTTGGGATGTGTTTTTAATAACATGAATGATAATTTAATAATTGTAGGACTGCGTTTTACACTAAGAATTAATTGTACTAAATCTAGTACAATTATTAAAAACACTTGGAATTAGGGTTGCCAACTTTCGTTTATTCAAATAAAGGACACATTTTGGAAATATTTCGAAGTACTACCGAGGGTGCCACCTTCATATTTTTTTCATAAAAAACGAACACTTTTATTCATGAGAGTTATGTGACAAGTGAACACTGGTCTACTTGAAGCAAGAAGTTTTTTCATGATTTTTGTGATTTTTTATAGTTTTTGTAGTTTTCTTAATTTTTATGATTTTTCGAATTTTCGTTAATTTCTATAATTTTTTGAATTTTTATCATTTTTGTAGGATTTTTTCAAATTTTTGATTTGTGTTTTTCATAGACTTTTGTGATTTTTTTTTTAATTTATATGATTTACATGAATTTTTTGTAAATTTTCATAATTTTTAGGATTTTCATGATTTTTAAGATTTTCATGAATTTTCGTAAATTTTTATGTTTTTTGTGATTTTTTTCAAATTTTTATATTTTTCGTACATTTTTGTGGTTTTTTATGATTTTCATAATTCTTGTAATTTTTTAAATTTTTATTTTTATGATTTTTGTGATTTTCATAAATTTTTATGATTTTTTGAATTTAATTTTTTATAATTTATTTTTTCAAATTATTATAATTTTTGTAAATTTTTGAGATTTTTTCAAATTTTTGATTTGTCTTTTTTGTAAACTTTTGTAGCACTTTGTGATTTTCGTAATTTTTGTGTTTTTTTTTTATAATTTTTATGATTTTTTTCAATTATTTTTGATTTTTTGAATTTAATTGTTCATGATCTGTTTTTTAAAATTTTTATGATTTTTGTAAATTTTTGTGATTTTTTTAAATTTTTGATTTGTGTTTTTCACAAACTTTTGTGGTTTTTTGTGACTTTCGTAATTTTTTTTTTTCAAATTTATTTGATTTACATGAATTTTTGTAAATTTTCATGTTTTTTGTGATTTTTTTCAAATTTTTATATTTTTCATAATTTTTGTGGTTTGTTATGATTTTCATAATTTTTGTTATTTTTAAAATTTTTAGATTTTTGTAACTTTTTATGATTTTCTGAAATTAATTTTTTCTAATTTATTTTTTTAAATTTTTATAATTTTTGTAAATTTTTGAGATTTTTTTCAAATTTTTGATTTTGTTTTTTGTAAACTTGGCATTTTGTGATTTTCGTATTTTTTTTTTTTTAAGTTTCTTGAATTTTTCTAATTTTCTTGAGTTCTTTTGATTTTTAAAAATTTCTCATAATTTTTATGATTTTCGTAAATTTTTATGATTTTTGTAATTTTCATGATTTTTTGAATTTTTTATGTTTTTTGAGATTTTTTTCAAGTTTTTATGTTTTTCATACACTTTTGTGATTTTTATGTTTTTAGAATTTTTTACAATTTTTATGATTTTTGCAAATTATTGCAATTTTTTAAATTTTTGATTTGTTTTTCTTTTGTGGCTTTTTGTGATTTTTTTCTGTACTTTTAAATTTGTGATTTATATAATTTTCTGAATTTTTATGATTTTTAGAAATTTTTAAGATTTTTTTTGTTTTTCGTAATGATTTGTGTTACTAAAAATTTTAAATATCACAAAAAATTATAAAAATATTTTTATAATAAATCAAAAAAAAAAATATTGAAAATCTCAAAAATTCAAGACAATCATACAAATTTGAAAAATTACGAAAATCACAAAAATGTATGCAAAACAAATATTAAAAATCATAGAAATTTACAAAAATATAAAAATTTATGAAAATTAAAAATTACAGAGATGCAAAAAAATCATAAAAATTTGAAAAATCACAAAAATTTACAAAAATCACAATAATCATAAAAATTCAAAAAATCATAAAAATAAAAAAAAAATAAAAACAGATTCATGAAAATTACAAAATTCATAAAAATTTACGGAAGTCAGAAAAAATCAAAAAAATAAGAAAAATTCATGAAATTTGAAAAAATTAAAAAAGCCCACAAGTTTTAAAAAATTTAATAAAAAAATCATAGAATTTGAAAAAAATTAAAACGACCAAAATACTTCAAAAAACCCCGAAAAGTTAACCAAACACAAAAAAAATTCAAAAAATTCCTAGAAGTTGGAGAAAATCAAAAATTCAGAAAAGTAAGAAAAATTCATAAAATTTGAAAAAACTGAAGAAACCCAAAAAAGTACAAAAACGAACCCAAAAAAGTTTTAAAGAAATTGGAAAAATTCATGAAATTCGCA